TTTTTATTGGTTTTATAGGGTTCTAGATAGGTGTCCCCAATTAGTTTATTTAAATAAGCTAGAACGACATGACACAGTAATAAAGTTTATTATTATTATCTAGTGGCATTAGGGGGATTTTTAGAGTGAAGTCATTAAGATAGATATTAGACTAATACGCTTTAGTAGACCAGAAGTAAACGAAAACAAATTTATGTCTACTATTATATACTACGTTGACTATTCTTTCACGGGGTAAAATCACTCTTTCATCATAGTATAGAAACAGGCGATTAGTGGTGCAGTCACTAGGTGTCACAATGATGGCGTCTTTATTAGTGTTTTATGTAAGGAATGAGGCCAGACTACACCAGTCAGGTATTACTCGGGCGACCTGCAAGGTAGCCCAAGTCTAGGTTTCGCTCGGTTGCACATGAGAAGACACATGAAGATGGATACAACTCAAACAAAGAATATTATTCTCAAGGGAATGACACGTGGTTTGAAATGGGAGAACATTTCGCTCGCGCGCTCCAGAGCCGAGGAGCTCTATCACCATTAAGAGTCCATGGCTTTTTAAATCATTGATATTATTCAAGTATGCTTTTTATCATATACGTTCAATTCTGTGTACGATTTGAGTCTGTAGTCAAGGAGCACAGCGGTATTTAGGTAAACGTTACATCGATCGACTCATTTAGCTGGCAGCTGGTCTTCCAGGAAAACAGACGATGCGCCATTTTATCCATCATATCAGTTCTCCACTTTTAGGGCATTTGAAGATGACAAGCGTCCAAGATTACTAGGATTAAGGCCTCTTTGCCTTTAAGCGTTTCCCATTTACGACCATTTGTAATTCTAACAATTGTGCAAGTTCACTAGAATTAGACTTCTTTACCTCTTAAGGTTTCCCATTTCAGACCACAGACCAAGTGACATTCCATAGAGTATCATTTCTTTGTTTAATGGTTGCACATGAAAAGACACCTGAATGTTATTAAATCAAACAAAGAATCTTATTCTCAAGGGAAAGACACGTAGTTTGAAATGGGAAAACGTTATGCCCAAGGTGAAGAGGTCCATAAAACTATAGACCACTTGTTTTTCTGATAGCAAACTTATTGCTTATTCCCTGAAATACTGAACTGAACTACCTTTCAGGTTGACACAAACAACAGAGGCTACCTGACTGACTTTGGTCTTTGCAAACCAGAGGGGTTGGCATCGGGTTCACTTGTAGGCACGCCGAATGCAATGGCCCCAGAAATGATCTGCCAGAAGTATACCAAGTCCGTTGATGTTTATGCTTTTGGCGTCCTGATGTGGAGAGTTTGTGAAGGAACTGGAAAGCAGCCCGCCAACATATTTTTCTTCCCAGTGCCGATCGTCATGCTTGTAGTGAATGCAAAGGACGACAGGAAGCCGGAGAGATTGGAGAAATTTCTACTGTCTTGTTGGGCCCTCATGGAAAAGTGCTGGGAGACAGATCCACATCTTCGTCCCTCATTCGATGATATCGTCCATGATTTGAAAGAAATTTTAGCTGATAAATCTATCACGTGAGATTTTTTTTTGGAAACTTGTTAGTTTGAATCCCTGGGTTGTATACACTCTATCAATACGTACCGCTTACCTCGTTTCAAAGGATTTGAACATATGACCATCAGGGGCGGACACAGGGGAGGGGCGAAGGGGGTGCGCGGGATGCGCACCCCTCACTGGTTCGACTTTGTGACCCTACTTCGAAGATAACCAATACGAAATAGTTTTTTTCTTTTGATTCTAAGTGGTGCACCCCTCCCTGAACAAAATCCTGGATCCGCCCGTGACCATCAAGATAGAAATATAGATGAAATTGAAATTGAAATTGAAATTGAAATTGAAATTGAAATTGAAATTGAAATTGAAATTGAAATTGAAATTGAAATTGAAATTGAAATTGAAATTGATATTGAGCCAATTAAAATGAGAATTAGAATTAAAGCCAAATAGAGCTATAAATCGTAAATATTTTACGACTATCACTCATGTCTGTTTTAGTAAGTCGATATCGATATGTCACGCGAATATTGCCGACGAGGTACCGCCGTGTACCATAAGCTCACCAGAGCCGTCTAGTATATTGGAAAGTTGTTACGAGTTTTTTTCTTTTTATCATTAACATTAACCTACGTAGCGGCGCTCTAGGGGACTGGGGAAGGAAGTAGGGAGCATCTGCAATGACGCTCTTGTTTTAGCGTTTATACTCGTTCATTCTGGGTGCTGGAAATTCCTATTGGTCGATAGGTGTCTGACGTCAAACACGTCATTCTTTGAAATGCAAAGTCGATCGAAGTAATGGCAAACGAAGGCATTCCCCCCCTCCCCCTTCCCCAGTCCGCTAGTGCGCCGGCATGCAGACTATATCATTATTATTATTTCAGTCAAAAACTAGACTGTTTTTGATAGCTATTTTATACTTGCAATATTGGTTGACGATAACGAAGCATTCTCCTCATTAGCTTCTCTAGTTAGACAACCACCATGGTGGCTGTTTCGTCGTTATGCAAAGAGCAGTTTTCGTATGACTGTGAAAAGGAACAAACAAACACGGTCGTGACATGGCAAGAGGGATACGCCAGACCAATCACATTGCTCGAGAATGTATTCTTCATCCAATCAAATACCCGGAAAACGGCATAAACACGGCGAGGACATGGACACGCCAAGGTTGCGGCACTGTCAGACCAATCACATTGTGCGAGAGAAAAAAAACAGCCAATTAAGATTCTATAAAACATCACGGCAAGGTACGCTTACGTCACTGAGCTTTTCACAGTCATACGAAAACCACCCTAGGGATTTTGATACAAGTAGATGCACCCCAAGAATCTTGAAAATACCAAGTAGCTTATCCAATCAGAACACACAGTTTTTACCATTTCTTACTAATTTGTTACGAGTCACACTTCAACAAGCTAAGCGATTAGTACAGGAGAGGAATGACTTCGCCTACGACTCATTGACGACATCGGCGTCTATAGAGAAACTGTACTGTACTGTACTGTTTAAAATTCCTGTTTATATTTTTTAAACACATGGTATAGGATATATGCCATAGCTATTGACAGTGAAACTTTTCTACGTATCTCTTCTACTAAGTAAATTTTAAAGTTGAATATACAAAGTACTAGACTAACTGGTAGAGCGAACTGGCGAAGAGTTCCCGCCAAATCTACAAGAACTTAACTCCTTCGGAGGACTGTTTTGAAAAAGGTTTTGGTTCACCGGGTTTTCCTCCTCTGTACGTACACTTGAAATATCGTACGTTCAACTCATCATATATTTAGTAAATAATCGATACTCATGCGCATGTTAGTATTTGATATTATTTACAAATTGCAACTTGAGTAGGAACGATTATTGATCCAAACAATGTGAATTAAAGAAATATGATAGACAATCTTTCTTCCTTCCTTCCCTCCTTCCTTCCTTCCTTCCTTCCCTTCCTTCCTTCCCTCCCT